CTACTATCCCCACTCACAGAGTCCCCCAATACCAGCTCCCCACCCTGGACAACCCCAATGTCAACCACCTGCCTTTTAGAGCCCAGAGCTTCCAAGTACTAGCTCCACCCCCAGAGTCCCCGCTTCTTAAGAGTCCCCCACACCCAGAGCCCCTTAACACTAGCCCTGCACTGCCTCCCAGCCACCAGCTGAGCACAGCTGCCGCGCTGGGCTTCACCTGGCCCTCCTGCCATGCAGCAAACAGCTTTTCTGCATTTGGTAGGAGACCTCACCCCTGCCTGGCATTGGCTGGCGTACACAACCTTTCCCAATAGCCATGGTACTGGGAGGTGTACCCCCAGAAATCTATGGACCCTCCATCTAACCTAGTAATGCTAGGGTTAAATGGTCAGACCTGCCCCTGCATGCGGGGAGGGGGGTGGGAGTGGAGCACAGTGGGAGCTTTTTTGGTGGGAGAGAAGGGAGGAGCTTGTCTGGGCTGGAGTGTGACGGAGCTGAAGACCCAGAAGCTGTCCCACATGTGACGTGCTGAAAGCAGGGAGCACCAGGCCTCTACTCTACCAACAAGCCTCTCCAGGACTGGGATCCCCCATGTGCCAGCATCACCTCTCCCACCCTGGGTCTGCCAAGGCTTCTCTGCACCTGCCAGAGCTGGGGCAGTTCCCCCTTCCCCCCACGTGAGCCAGACACAGGTCAGTGCAGTCACTACTCTGCTAACTACAGCCAGAGCCAGCTGCCCACCCCTGCCAGCTCCACTCCTGGGGAAGCTGGCAGCAGATGTCCAGCTGCTCTTGAAGCAAGCTTCAAACCCACAACCCCCAGCTCTGGGGGCCTGACATCGTATCCATTAGACTCACCCCAGAGAGAGACTTCTCAAGTCTTCCAGTGTATTTTCAAATGTTGTCTGTGATAGATGGTGTGATGCACACCTCTCCTTTTATAACAGTATGGCTACATCTAGATTGCATTCCTTTTTTGTAAAAGGGATGCAAATTAGATGTATCGCAATTGCTAATGAAGCAGGGATTTAAATCTCCCCCACTTAATTAGCCTAAAAATGGCTGCCCCTTTTTTTCGGCAGGGAGCTTTGCCGGAAAAAAGCACCAGTCTAGACGCGGATCTTTCGGAAAATAAAGCCTTTTCCGAAAGATCCTTTATCCCTCTTAAAATAAGTGATAAGGGATCTGTTGGAAAAGGCTTTATTTTCCAAAAGATCCGCGTCTAGACTGGCGCTTTTTTCTGGCAAAGCTCCGTGCCGAAAAAAAGCAGCAGCCATTTTTAGGCTAATGAAGCAGGGGAGATTTAAATCCCCGCTTCATTAGCAATTGCGATGCGTCTAATTTGCAACCAGCGCGGCTACACGGGGCTCGAACTAGGTAGTTCCACGAGGTGTACCGGTAGTTCGGAATAGGAATCCGCTGCACGGGGTTCGAACCAGCGGGGTTTTAAAAATGGCGGGTCCCCCCCTTTGCAAATGAAGCCCGGGAAATTCAAATCCAGGGCTTCATTTGCAAGACCCGGCGTCCCCCTGCGCTGTGATGTGTGATTCCCACTGACTCACCCACCTGGGTATTAGCCAAAACACCTAGGCCCAGCCTGACCAGATAACAAGGCTCTAGGGAGGCAGAGATTAACACCTGGTTGGGGGGCAGGGTCTGGGAGCAAGGCAGTTGCTGGCAGGGGGAACATGAAGGAGTGAGCCTAAACTGAGGACTGGAGGTCTAGGGGGGTGATGGACCCCCCCCAACCCAAGGGATCTGAGGCATCCTGGCCCAGACTCCTATAGCCACATCACTTGTATGCTGTGCTGTATTCTGGAGAAACAATAAACCCTCTCTATTCTCTGGCAGGCGGAGTCTGTTCTTGCTGATACTGGGCTGCAGGATTTGGGGGAACCCCGACGTGGCGTCACAATCGGTATTTGCCATGAGACTGAAAAATTATTTTAAGGAAAAGATACAGATAACATGACACCATCAATACACAGATTTTTGAAATAAACTTGATAGTAAAGAAATATCACTGTAAACCAAGCACTTGACATTTAATAGATCTCTTCTTTAATAGAACAAATTCTCATTGTCACTCCTCTGTGTGAATTTTTAAAGAATGGACAAACATCTTCTGAGAATGAACAATCACTAAATGTGAACAACACAGACATGTCAGTTACATTGAAAAAGGTCACTTGCCTGTCTTTGTAATTAAGGTAAACTCCAATTTTCTGGGGATTTTTCTGCACTGTGACCCGGGTCCAGGGATCTGTTTTTGCCCAGTAATCTTTCCCATTCAGACTCAGAGCCCAGAAACCCTCTTTAGGGGACAGGGAAAGTTTCCCTTTTCTCTGTATGGATTTTCTGGCCACTCCCAGGTCCCATTCAGTGCTGTTTTCAACATTCACCTCCCAGTAGTGCTTTCCATTGGAGAATCTTTCAGAGCCCAGCACACAGACAGATGCATCGAACCTCTCTGGGTTTGGTGGAACATTTTGAGGTTGGGCTTCATGTGTAAAACTCTTTTTATTACTAGAAATGGAGAGGTTAGGATGGGCTGTGACTGCATCAAGAATGATGTCATCTGCAAAGACAGAGATTTGGTGTTCAAAACACTGGTGTAATGTCAATCCAAGCTGAGAGAAAAGGAAATTTCCAGAGTGGGCTCCATCCTATTTTCCCTTTTCAAGTGGGAGCTTTCCCTGACTGAAGCCGGCTTTACAATGTTTGTTGGTTTGTTTTGACACAGACTAGTCATGTCATCTTGTTAAAATATCTTAATCAATTTCATTAAATTGTGTATTATGCCTACTTCACTGAGGGATAGAGTCAAGTGGGCTAATATTTGCTTTCAGGGGATCAGAAGAAAATTACAATAAATGCAAATTAGTAGCACCACTCTAATACTGCTATCTGTCACAAATGACTATGGTTATAGCTGTGTCTTGCATCATCTCCTTAATAATTATCACTCAGTATAATATTAATTTTTAACCAACACTGTCAATAACAAGTCAAAACCTTCACAACCAGAGCTAACTTTACACCATTGTCTACATCATTGTCAATTACCACCATAATCCCATACATTTTACCACCATAATTCAGGAGTGCTGTGACCAAGACATTCTCTACACTACTCTGCGCTGATTTGGCCTTAATTGGAGTATTGTGTCCAGAAAGTTGTGGAGAAATTGTAGAAGGTCCAGAGAAAAGCAACAAAAGTGCTTCAAGGACTAGAGAGCATGAGCTATGAAGGAAGACTGAAAGAATTGGGTTTGTTTAGTTTGGAAAGAAGAAGACTGAGAGGGGACATGATAGCCGATTTCGGGTATCTAAAAGAGTGTCACAACACACACAATGTTCTAGTGTTCTATGATTCTACTTCTTACCACAAATACCCACCATCATCATTACTTTTATTATCATGACATTGTGTGTGTTGTGGCAAAGTACTGGCTCTACCCCATGGTCCTGCATTTCTATTTTACTTCAGAGGCTGGGCCAGCCAGAAGAGTCTGGCTTTCAGGTCGGGGACTCCAACTCAGCAAAGGATGGACTCCTGAGCCAGGTCTGAAAGGCACCTCTGTGCAGTTCCAGGTCCTTTGGGAAGTCCCCAGCAAGCCAAAGGGATGTTGTGAGCCTTCTCTTGTTTTCTTTTTAAATCACGTGTGATATCTAATAAATCTTGCATTTATTTGCATTAAGCGATTTGTGTCTTCTTTGTTACCCTTCAAACCTGAGATCAGAGTCTCACTGGCCCAACCTCTGAAGTAAAACAACTCCTTGGGCAGTTATTATGTGCCTCAGCACACAGATAGTCATGACCCTGTACGTTGCCTCTAGTGTCTTTCTAGAGGTCAGAGTTACTGCTTATTGAGCTATTTGCATCATTGGTAAAGTCAATGAATGGGGAGGGAGAGACCCCTCCCTAATACCTGGACCTTCTTTCCCCAGAACTGGTTCTTTCTGAGGTGTGGGGAGGTTGCGGAGCCCAGGCCCAGCCACTACTCTGGGTTCTGGCTCAGGGATCGCAGGCAGCAGCAACTGCTCAGGTTTTTCCCTCTAGCTCGAAGTCAGCAGCCTTTTCCCTGGGCCACTTCCTCAAATGCTCCCCTAGAGCCTTTTCTCTGGCACCTGGCTGAATCTTCCCTTTCTCAGCTTCTCTGTAAATGCACTTCCTCGTCTCACTCCATCCCTTTATTCCTTCCCCCTTCCTTACCTGGGGGAAATCTTTTACAGTAGCACCCCGGGCTTTAGGTGTCTGATTAGCCTGCTTTAATTACAGGGCAGCAGACTAAGGAAATTTATTCAGGGAACAGAAAACTCTTCATCCAGCACCCTGCATACCTGCTCTCCATTAGAGAGCAACAGCCAGCTGGTCTGGTTCTGTCACACATCCTCCCCTCCCCGCACGCCTCCTCTCTACCTCTTTGGGAGGGGTGTGTGGAAGACTGCTTCTGCTGTGAGCAAGGCCTTGGCTGCCTCCATTCTGGGCCAGGCCTCCTCTTCTCCCCTCCTGCTTTCTTTGCAGGTAGTTTCCTCCCCCACACCTTATCTCAGCTAGCAGTTAGAGCTGCTGGGCGGGGGTGGGGAGCTTCTGCTGCCTTGCCCCTGGAGAGGAGAAGGGGGAGGACCCCCTCTTCCATCTTCTTGGGTTCCACCTGGCCCCTTTCTTCTTCACTTCTGCAGGCTTGAACTCCACCTTTCCTGCTGCTGTGGCTGATGCTTCCCCTGGGGCAGAGGAGGTAAGGGGGCTACTTTTGGGCAGATCATAGGGTCCTTTTTCCCCACAGCTTGCTGTGTGATGGGGAGTGTATAAGAGGCTCTCTCTCCATCTGGGTCCCTGGGGTGGTGGTTAGTGCAATTCTTGTAGGGTGCTGGGGGTGGGGTTCTCCCCACTGCAGCCAGAGGAGCTGGTCTCACCATCCTCTATTTGGAGACATTCCTCTTGTACCTTTGCCCCCCCTTCTCCTTTCTGGACTGCTGCCCTCCCACCCCACTTCCAGCCTTGCGATGGGAGGGAGAGCAGTGAAACTCCTTTATCCCTTTCCTTCCTCCCCTTGCTTCCCACAAGGCACTTTGTCCTTTCGTCTCCCAATTGTTTGTTCCTGTCTTTTCCTCCCTGCCCATGTCAACAGTTGAGGGGCTATTGTGTGATGTCCCTGCTGCCCCTTCCCCATCCATCCTCACATTTACCTCTGTAAATGTCTCATCGGAGGCTGCTGGGCTACCCATTGATAGAATGGTGATGCTGGGAAAGGATGGGGCTCTGGGACCCCTGCTGCTCCTGCCGTGGCACCTTCTACCAGTGTCATCATTAAGAAGACCCTCTTGAAGGACAGGAAGGGCCAGGGGACCAAAAATGGGAAGAGACCTGAATGGAAAGTTAAACCTTCCATGGAGGTAGCCCCTGCCACAGCCCCGGTATCTGCATGGCCTGCATTCCCTCTAAGATTTTCCAACCATGAGTGGAGTGTTGAGGTCATGTGTGTTGGTTTGGATGTGTGCCATCTCATCCTCTGGACCACAAGGATCATTTTGGGGAAACACAAAACCACCACAACAGCCAACTAGTCTAGGTCTGTCACAGTGCTTTTACCCTGCTCCAAATCCTGAGGTACTTACCATGTCCTTGCTCCTTATTCAGATAAAACTCTCAGTGAAGGCTAATTGTGAACTCACATCTGTGTGAATCAGAAGTGTCTCCATATAAATCCATGAGGGTACACTGGTGTGAAGCTGGTATGTGATCAGAATCAAGTAGTAGTATAAAAAGGAGTTTTGACTGGTTAAAAAAAGTGAGCATGAGTCTCTGTATTTATTCTCAGGCAAACAGAATTTTATGCTGTTTCTAGTCTGGTTGCTGTATTAACACAATGATTTATTAAAAGTGGAAGAAATGTGGTTTGTGTTACCTGTTTCATTGCGAGCCTTTCTCCATTCTGAAACCAGAGAAATAACAAACATTGAATTAAAGGAAGCTAGTAACATGTTACAAACTGAGGGAGCATTCAGGGGGATTTAATTGTATAGCAGTGTTTTTAAACAACAAAGAGACGTCCCAAGAATGTACCCACAGTACATTTAATAGTACACATAGATGTGGGATTTTCTGAACTGCTATGATTAGAAACCTAAGTATGGGCCTTGGTCTTCCTATGAACTTCTATGTCTTGTGCCTCATCTCATTATGAATTTGCCCTTTTGGAATGTGGTATGTTTTTAAATTTTTCTTTCATAAAATGACTCACCCCCAATTTTTTCTAGTCATACACACTCTGTTTCTTTTAGTGGAGCAGTTAACAATGATTTAGACCCAAATATTATTGTTTACTTTGGCAGTGTGGCAACAGAAGTACACCAAACGAGGCAGGGCCTAAGGCCCAGAGCTTGAAAAAGACAAAGCTGTTGTACTCAGTATATGGCCACATCTTATTTTTAGGTGTCTAGACACCCAATGGAATTTACAAAGCCTGAGTTATGTGCCCCAGCTACCTATTCACATCAAGAGGAGAGAGGTGCCAAACAATATACGACACAAAAGCCAGGGAGCCAACTAATTCTAGGTGAGGAAGGTGCCTTCTTTTCTTAGGATTCAAAGGCATGACTCATCTCTTTCAGCCAGGCACATAAAATAGCTGGGGAGCAAGACAACCTCCTTTTTTCACCCATAGCTCAGATGTTAAGCACCCATCTAGGATGTGGAAGAACCACATCTCACTCCCTGAATGAGAGACAAGGGAGATTAGAACTTGAATTTCCCACATCTCACCTCAGTACCATAATAACTAGGCTGAAGGTGTGTGTCCAGACTACAGGGTTTTGTCGACGAAAGTCCACTTTTGTCAACAAAACTATACCTGACAAAAGTATACCTTAGCAAAACTACACTGCCGCTGAGTTCTGTCGACATAATGTAGACAGAACTCAGCAGTTTTTTCAATGGCGGTAAACCTCATTCTATGAGGAATAATGCCTTTTGTCAACAGAGTTCTGTTGACAGAAGGCGTTATTGCATCTACACTGTTCTTTGCGTCTATACTCTCATGTCGACAAAGAGGCTTGCTTTGTCAACAGAACTGGACGTAGTCTAGATAGACACTCTTTGTCGACAGATGCTTTCTCGACGGTATCTATCGACAAAGCCTCTGTCGACAAAAGCTTGGAGTCTAGATGTACCTAAGGTTACTAGGGGGCTGTGCCTCCTGCTCACTGCATTCACCAATCCCTCTGTTGTGGGTGGAGGCAACCCCCACTCTCTCCCTCCAGCCACCAGGGAGGGCAAGTATGTGGCCGCGCCAACCAGGGTCCCTGCTCCCTCCCCCTGCCACACCAGGATGAGGCCATGCCAACCAGGACCCCCTTTGCCCCCGACTCTACCAGCCAGGGTTCCCTTCCTCTTCCCCCCTTTGCCAACCAGGGCCCCCTTATCCCTCCCTACACCCCCCACAGTGGCCTAACTGTTACTCCAGGGATAAGGCAGTTATAACTTTAGTGACAAGGCCGTACACTAGGGCTGGCTCTAACCTCGGCAGCCAGGCCAGGCTGGGCCAGGCTGCAATGTGCATCTGGACCGGCTTCTGGGCCCAGTTTTCCCCCTGAATGCTAGAAGGGACTAGGCTGGGCACAATTTCCCCCCATGCACAGAGAAAGATTGGTCTGGGCCCAGCTTTTTCCCCGTGCACTTGGAGGAGCCGGGCTAGGCCAACCTTCCCCCCATGCATTGGAAGAGGCCAGACTCCAGCCATGCTGGACAGGTTTTACCACTGGGAGGGGCTGGGTGTGGCTTTCCCCTTGCCCACCTGGAGGACCGGACGTAAGCCACACCAGACCACTTTTCCCACCTGGAGGGTCACACCAGCCAAAGGCCCAGCTTTCCCTCCCACTAATAGGTAGGGAAGGGAATGGCTGGAGCCATAGGCAACCCAAGCCCTCCATGTGTGCTCTGGGAAAGGCCAAGCTGGGGGTGGGTGCTGTATGTTCCTGTGTAATGCAGAGTGACGTGATGATGTCACTCTGTGGTCCCAGAGGAAATCCTTTTCTGAGGTATAGTAAGATAAGATAAGAGACACCCAGAGCAGCAGTTAAAGAGCATTCAATGAACAAGGGTGGAGATTGGGAGCAATGATAAAAGAGTCCGTTTGGATTCTTCCCTCCTATTATGAGTTACCTTAGCTGTGGGATGCTCCCATCGTGAAGATTTTGATAAATGGTCAAGGGTCACACTTTTCTATGGAAGGGGTGTGAGGTCTGGGACAGAGGTTGTGTGTAGAAGGGAGAGCAGGGTAAAGGATAGGAGTACAGGAGAAGGTGTGGAGTCTGAGAGGGATTTTGGGTAAAGGAGGGGGTTCACAGTGCATCAAGCTTCCAGTGGAGTGGGTTGCAGACCAGATGGAAAGGCTTGGTGAGCAGAATCCAGACCCTGGGACATATCTTCCTCATGACTGATCCAAATTGTTCTGGTATCAACAGATCCCATAAGTATTGCAGAAAATAGGCTAAAGGGATGCTGAGCCATGCCTTTTTTATGCCACAGACCAGCATACAGGTTCAGAAATTTTGGCCGGCTGGTAATATTTTATTTGCATATTTTCATATTTATTCTGCAAATAATGAATATTCAAATATGCAAATAAAATGTTAGCTCTCCCCAAAATTTGTGAATAAGTTTGCCAGTCTGAGGTATGAAAAGCCCCGGGTCCCCAAGCTCCCCAGTGCCAACCCTAATCCCTACAGTTCCTCACTCTTCCACTACTCCCCACTGCCATCCACTGACCACAGAGTCCTCTGCACCAACCCCACCCCCAAGTGCCAGACTCCTGTTCTCAGAACCCCCAGTGCCAGCCCCCATCCCAAATGCCTTAGTGCCAGACTCCTGTCCCTTAGAGCCCCCACCACCAGACCACCAAGTGCCAGTCTCCTGTTTCCAGAGACCCTCTGCACCCAGCCACCCTCAGGGTCTTGCTCAGTGCCACCCCCCCAGTCTACAATGTTAGCCCTGTTCCCAATGTACCCCCTTACTACTAGCCCCAGCCCCAGAGCTCCCCATTGTCAGCCCCCCACCCCAGAGGTGCCAGTGTGCCCCAAAGTCAGGCTCCCACCACCTAGAGCCCACCAGTACTAGTTACACCCACAGAGACCCACAGTTTTGGCTTCATCCCCCAGAGTCCCATAGTGCTAGCCCAATGTCTCTTAGAGGTCCCCCCCACCTTCAGAGGACCCCAGCACCAGCACAGCCTATAAGCCTGTGTTAATTCACGACTCTGTTCTAGGTTAATTAAAAAGTGTTGTCAGAGAAAATCATCAACGGTTCTGATTTGGAGTAAAAAAATGTAAAGTAAATGAACAACTATGCACTGAAGAAAGAGAATGAAATGAAACAAACCCATCAGTTTTCATTGAAGAATATTCTTCTGAAGGGTAGGAGTAGCTGAGAAATTAGGGAACTTACCATTTTCCTTCTGGAGCTGGTCTGCAAAAGAAGAGTGGGATGTCAATGATATATCAGGTGGGCAGGTACTACTTAGCTCTCCGAAGCATCTGCCTCATAGACCTTCCTATAAAGCAGTTGCCAGTATTTTCATTTGTGGCCTTTCTTAAACACTTGCTCAATCACCTAAATTCAATAACAACTCCAAATCTTGTATGTCATAAAAACATACAGAAAATACAAACAAACAAAAAAAAAGGCCTGTGATCTCACATTACTGGAAAATGTGCCCACACCCCACCATATATGGTTTAAAGAGACCCTTCTCCCAGTCGCACATCATCTTCCTCAATGCTTATGCCAAATGGTCAACTGTAGTGATCATGCAACATTTAGTTTATTCATGTGCAGCCACAAAGGTTTAACAACCCAGGAGTCAATGCATCACTACAAATGCATTATGAAAAACATCTATGTGAAGGCTGTTCCCCACTCTGGCACATTGGGTATGTCTAGACTACCTGCCTCTGGTGACAGAGGCATGTAGATTAGGCTATCCGGCATAGGCAAAGAAGCAGGGTTTTAAATAATCCCTGCTTCATTAAAATAAACATGGCCACCGTGCTTATCATTGGCACAGAGGCATGTAGTCTAGACATGCCCTTTGAGTGCAGAAGGTGGGTACCTGCAAAACTCTTTAAAGTACACCGACACTAGAGGTTTCTGTTTAAAAACTCCCCAAGGTCACAGATTCCCTGACCTTGTCTGGTACGCTGCCAGCACCCAAATGCAATAGTTCCTCAAAGCCAGGAAGTTGCACTTGGGAGTTTCTTCCTGTGTGGGAACCACAAACTCTTCAATTCTTCCTTAGGGGAAAGCTTGAATATAAACTGTAATTTCTTAATTACTGACCTTCAATCACAGGCAGATAAATGCACAGAGGAAGCCTCCTCTAGGATTCAGGAAGGGGGAGTTACATAAATTTGGTTTGGGGAACATGTCAACAAATAAGGTATCTTTCAGGGAACCATCTTTAATAATTCCTTTGAAACCACTTACTTAAGTCCTAACCCTAAACCTAACCCTTGTCTTATAGCTTGCAGCAGGGGCTATGTGCCTCCTTCACAACTTCCTAGAGCTGGGTGCCCTCCTTTCTCATGACTCCGGTTGGGGCTTTGCACCTATCATTGACCACTCCCACCCCCATGTGTTTTACTTTTGCAATCTGGTCATGCTAAGTGATACCCCCATTCTTCAAGCAATTTGTGCTGAGTCTGAGTAAGATTAAATTAAAAAATGAAAGTAAACTTACCATTCCGTTCCTTAAGTGTCACTGAAAAACAAATGAAAATAAGCAAATATTTCAAGTATTTCAAAACAATGTAAGGTTTATATTGTATCTATTATTGTAAATATAATGCAAATCTTCTAATCCACCATTAAGTCGAAGGCCCTGTCCTCTCACAAGCATAGGAAACGATTTTTCATCCCACGACACACTCGTTACAAATGCCTTTTTCTTAGTCATACAGCACCACAGATACATTACTAAGAATGGCTTGAGCCCTCAATCAGTACGCAATCCAGAAGTAATTTGAGATTAATTTGATTATCACTAAAATAAAAAATAAAAGTAAACTTACATTTCTCTTTCTGAAGTTCCTCTGAGAAACATAAAGATAAAATATATTTCAAAGTAATGCAAGACTTTCTTTATGCAATATATCTGTTCAATAATCTCTCCATCTGTTCAGTAATGGGAATATTTCTTCCCCTGGTTTACTTCATTTGTTGACATTTAGCATAGGTCTACACAAAGCCAATGGGCGGTCTGATTCCAAGGTTTGAGGGATGTACATGGCAGAGCTTTGCTCAGACTGCTGCCTAAATATAGCACTGGGGCTCTGATGGCATATGGGATGACTTAGGTTATATGCCCAAGCATGTATCCAGAGACTCAGGTGGCTTTGTAGCAGGGTGACAATCTAGTGATGACACCTTTATGTATTTTATATACACTTGTATTTTTAACTTGGGTACTCAAACAAGAAAAATAAATATGCCAAAGTAATACACATTTTGAAATGTTCAAATATGCATTGTATCATCTCAGGGTTCGTCTGGACTGAAAGCTTCTTACAAAAGAGAGCATTCACACATCTAAAGTGGATCTAAAAAGTGATCTCTTTTGAAAGAGAGTGTCCACATTAGGCCATTAGCTCATCATTTCCAGTTGCTGTTGCCTATCTGAGATGGGTGCTTAAAGGGACCCCCCCTGGACAGCTATTTCTCAGCTTCTGCTGTGGGGTTGCCTACCTCTCTGAGGGATAGCAAAGCTTTTGCAGCACATGCTCTGATTGCCCAGCTTTCTTGGACACCACATCATTTTCTTCTCTTTTTACCAGTGCCGGAGATGTCCCCACATTACCGTGCTGCAGCTTCTGCAGCAGTTTCAACAGACTGTCATGACAGTTCTGCCTGAGCTCAAATCCCAGCTCAGCACTGAGAACCTCTTCCTGGATGCGGGAGCAATGCCCTTACCACCATCCCCACTGTCAAGAGGCAATTTTTGAGGCTGGACACCAGTTTCGACTGGTGACACTGCGTCATCATGGAGTGGTGGGATGACCAGCAGTGGCTCCAAAACTTCTGCATGTGGAAGACCACCTTCTTGGAGCTGTGTACCTGGTTCACCCCTGCCCTCCGATGACAGGACACCCACCAATGTACAAAGCAGATGGACAAACATCTCAGACACTTCGCCAAAGGATCAATGCCCACAAAACAGATATTAGACAGGATCACAAAGAAAAAACAGTTTCTTGCCATTTCAACCAGAAAGGACACTGTCTCAACGACTTAATCACCTGCATCCTGCTTCAAAAACCTTTTAAATCTGCACTTCAAAGGGAATCCTCTGAACTGTCATTCATGCTAAAATTTGACACTCTACACTTGAGTCTCAACAAAGACTCTTGCTATCTCACCCATTACAAAGATAGCTTCCCCAATTATCACCTCCAATACCATTAACTCACAGACATTTCCCCACCTCTAATACCATTAGCTCACAGACATCTACCTTCCCCCGCCCCCACATCCCTCTTCTGTTCTGAAATTTGATTTGTTCTTGTCATATGTGTTCATCATTTTTTTAACTGTATCCTTTGGTATATATGGTTGTGACAATTTTCTTCCACTATTTGATCTGAGGAAGTGGGTCTGGCCCACGAAAGCTCATCATCTAATAAATCATCTTGTTAGTCTTTAAAGTGCTACATAGTCCTGTTTTTTGTTTTAGGTACAACAGACTAACACGGCTACATTTCTATCTAAATTCAATAACAACTCCAAATCTTGTATGTCATAAGAACAAACAGAAAATGCAAACAAACAAAAAAACAAAAGCCCTGTGATCTCACATTACTGAAGAATCTGCCCTCACTCCACCATATATGGTTTATAGAGATCCTTCTCCCAGTCGCACATCATCTTCCTCAATGTTTATGCCAAATGGTCAACTGTAGTGATCATACATCATTTGGTCTATTCGTGTGCAGCCACAAGGGTTTGACAGCCCAGGAGTCAATGCATCACCACAAGTGCATTATGAACAAAATCTATATTAAAGCTGTTCCCTATTCTGGCACTTTGTGTACATCTACACAGCTCCCCTCTTCCACAAAAACCTATGGTAATGAAGCACGGATTAGGATATTGTTGTGCTTCATTTGTATAATTAATTAGCCTTCAAGTAAAGAAAGTGAGTGCCTGCAAAACTCCTTAAACTACCCTGCCATTAAAGGTTTCTGTTTAAAATCTCCCCAAGGTCACAGATTTCCTGATCTTGGCTGGTACGCTGCCAGCACCCAAATGCAATAGCCCCTCAAAAGCCAGGAAGTCGCACTTGGGAATTTCTTCCTGTGGGGTATCTGCAAACTCTTTAATCCTTGCTTAGGGAAGACCTTGAATATAAACTGTAATCTCTTAATAACTGATCTTCAGTCAGGAGGCTTCTCCTTCTAGGTCTCAGGAATCATATCATAGCTTTTAAAAGGTGCTTTTATTAAAAACAAAACAAAACAAAACAAAACAAAACAAAGAAGACGTATTTGGTAAAGCATACTTGATTGTCTGGAGCTACAGAACAACTGTAAAAAACCAACCAAACCTAATTTACTCATTTTTTTCCTGGAAAGACAGCATTGTACTTCAGCAACTTATTTGAACCTATGTCTCTACCATCATATCCATCTCTGCTAGTTAGCTTAAGTATGAAAAATAATGAGATTAATTACATCTCTTGTTTGAAGTGGGTTTTTACTCTACAAATTTAACGAAGGAGCCATTGGAAGAAAATACATTTTGGAAACAACAACAAATGATCTAGTAGCACTTTATAGACCAACAAAACATGTAGATGGTATCGTGAGCTTTTGTGGGCACAGCCCACTTCTTCAGATGACCGGAGAAGATCTGAAGAAGTGGGCTGTGTCCACGAAAGCTCATGATCCCATCTACATGTTTGGTTAGTGTATAAAGTGCTACCAGACCATTTGTTGTTTTTTCCTGTACAGACTAACTTGGCTACCTCTTGAAGATTTTGGAAACAGTAGGATATCAATGTCTCCTGATTTTAACAGTGAGATGGCTTATTTGTGAGTGATAGGCTATGTCTAGACTACAAGCCTCTTCCGAAAAAGAGTGTCTAGACTACAACCAGTACTTTCGAAAAAGCAAGCTGCTTTTTTGAAAGAGAGCACCCAGGCTACTCCACAGAGCCCTTCTTCAAAAGAATGCTGAACCATGCCCCCATTATCATGGCCCTTGCTCTGACTCTCAAAGGGTATGTCTACACTAGCTCATTAATTCAAGCTAGGTAGGCAAAACAGGCGACCGGAGTTGCAAATGAAGCCCAGGAGTTAAATATCTCGGGCTTTATTTGCATGTTCCCGTCCAGTTGCCATTTTGAAATTCCACTAGTCTGAAGGACTTAGTTCGAATTGCCGTTTCTCTGCCGTGTGTAGCCACATGGCAGTTACTTCGGACTAGTGGAATTTCAAAATGGCAACTGGACGGGAACATGCAAATAAAGCCCGGGATATTTAACTCTCAGGCTTCATTTGCAGAGATCACTATAGAGTATATATAGCCTGAATTAATGAACTAGTGTAGTCATACCCAAACAGGGCAGTAGAGGTGCACCATACAAAGTTTTTCCAAACTGAATAACCATTATGTTTTGGGGAAGATTTTATGGTGAGAACAGCATGAAGAAATTGTTAAGAAGCTACCTTTTTTTTCTTTTGATTTGAAGACTTACTACTTCATAGGAGTGTACAAAATTTAGCACACAAAATTTTGATCATGATTTTCCCAATTAATAGCCCTACCCACATTATACCAAATGTAAATTAGGAAAACATAAAACCCATCATAACATCATGATAGCCTCTTTTGTATATTCAAACATAAAATTAACATAATCAGAGGCATAGTAATATTGAAAATATATACTCTATAGTGATAGTTCAAAAATCAGTGTTTCCATCCATGTATTCTAGGTTAATTAAACAATTAATTAGTATTATAATTAAACAGGTATTCTGTCATTGAAACTCATGAACAGTTCTTATATGGTGTAAAAGAATTATAGGGTAATGATTGAAAGGGTTGAAGAAAGAAAATGAAATGGAGAAATTTTAGTTTTTATTTAAAAATATTCATCTGAAGGATAGGAGTAGCAGAGAAACTAGAGAACTTATTATTTTTCTTCAGAACCAGGTCTGCAAAAGAAGAGTTGTATTTCAGTGTTTTTCTTCTAAAGACCAAAATCCAAAGGACATCGTTTTTAAGTATAATGTGATGAACCATATAGCACAAACAATAGTTTCTTGGTATTCTATCAGCCTTGCTAATGACACTATACTATTTAAAAATCATGTATCTTGTCCTCTATCCCAAGGACAGTCAGAGGAAGGGGGAGTTACATAAACATGACTTTGGGACATATGAACAAATAAGGTCTGTTTCACGGAATAATCTTTACAAATGCCTAGCTGAAAACTTCCTTTAAAAGCACATATTTAAGCCCTACTCCTAAGCCTAGCCCTTGCCTTATGGTGTGCAGCAGGGGCTATATGCCTTCTTCACACCTTCCTAGGGCTATATGTCCTCTTTTCTCATGGCTCCGGTTGGGTCTTTGCACCTATGGTTGACCTCCCCATCCCACTTGTTTTACTTTTGCAATCTGGTCACTAAGTCAGGCATGTCAAACTCGAAGCCTACTGAGGGATGCACAAATGAAAACTGATTGCTTTCAGGACCACCAAAGAAAATATACTTCATTAGAAAGTCGTAATTATGTATTATTATAAATTATGTTTTAGGTATATTTTCTAGTATTTTTTCAGGTCTTGATTTAATACAATAATTTGTTGTTAAAATTGTTATTTGGTCATATAAAATCATTTTTAATTTAAATATAAATGTAAGGTACTTTTAAATTTTGTATATGATATATAACTTGTTTTGTTGAAATAAAAACAAGTATAGACTTGTGGTTAATCAAATAGAACACGTTTCTGTGAAAATTTCATATACAGGCAGTCCCCGACTTACGCGGATCCGACTTACGTCGGATCCGCACTTACGAACGGGGCTTTCTCGCCCCAGAAGTCGGGGCGAGAAAACCCCGTTCGTAAGCTGCTCCGGTGCCCCATGTCTGCTGGAGACCGTCTCCAGCAGACCAGGGGCACCGGGCGGGTTCCCGTGCTTCTGAGGCTTTGCCAGAGCAAAGCCTCAGAGGCGCGGGGAACCGCCGCTGCCGCCGCCTGCATAGTGGG